TGAGATATTTGTGACTGATGGTAAGAACCAACGAGTCCAGGTCTTCAGCATAGATGGGACCTTACTCCGCTTGTTTCCAACCATCGTGCCAGGTGAAAGTACGAGAATGCACCCTCATGGTGTTGCTAGTGACGTGGAATCTGGCTACCTGTGGGTACTGGGGAAGAGCTCGCGCTCCAATGGACATGTCGTACAGTACAGTAAGAACGGACAGCCCATCAAAAAGTTTGACGTAAGCCTCAAGAGCTTCTATCCCGTCATCGCGATGAACGTGCGCAACAATAAAGTTATCGTGGGAGACAAAACAACCATTATGATGTTTGATCCAAACGGCTCTCGCATTTGGAGTTCAAAAGTGCCTACAGAAGACGCGATCAGGGGAGTCACATCGGACAAGGAGGGAAATGTCCTGCTGACGGATTGGCATAAAACCATCCAGAAGTACAATTCCTCCGGAGTAAAGATACTTGAATTCGGCACCTGTGGAAAGGTGGAGGGGCAACTGAACTCTCCCGTTGGTATTTGTCTTGACACCTCTGGTCGCATCATTGTGGCGAACAATATGAACCACCGGGTAGACATTTTCACAAGCCAGGGCAAGTTTGTCGGCACCATCGCGAAAATTAGCTACCCGTGGGCTGTCGCTATGGGACCACGTGGAGAGTTGGTGGTGACTAGCCCATATAAGGTTACTATCTTCCCACGGCACATGGTGCTTCCTTGAAGCCCTAAATTATGTTCACTTTATGGTTGATGTTGTTATCTCTGCACGACTGATTCTCTTTTGTTTATGTACCATACATATTGTATTATCAAATGGTGTCGTATAAGCCCACACCTGCTGGGCGCGGGTAGCCTCATTCATTCATTGTAACGCATAGATTGTCAAAATTGCTGTCTTTGAGATGAAATCTACCAATCTTAGTGTACAAAATGGTACTGCGGATGTTCAGGTCCAGACCTGTACCTAAATACATCAGTAAAGGTTAGACATCCAGCTAATAAGATACGCCAAAAAAGTGCAACTAACAAAAGGTAGTGGATGCTACTTAAAACGTCTGACTGTTAGCCTGTTTTACCATATATTGTTTTAGTTGCTTGTAGGCCTAGGGCGCATTGGAAACTGCCATATATATAGTGGTGACATGTTCATGTAACTTTGTGGCTAAATAAAAAAAAAATTAATGTAGGTATGCGCAAGTGTATTGTAATAGGCTGAAGTATGTATTTCACTTTGTCGTCAACGTAGGGGGGGGGGGGCGGCTTAACGCCACGAGAAATTCTAAATTAATGACAAGATTTCGTGAATTCTTTAATCCTGTTTCATTTATTTCCTATAACAGATTGCCGTCACAATTTGGAGGATAGAATGTGCCCATTATCATATAGAGTAGAATGTTAAGAACCTTGATATGTTTATTCAATATATGGTCGCCCACACACATACCAACTCCGGGCACTGAGTCTAGATTGTGCCGCTGATGTCAGTTTTACCCCGCAAACCACCCACAGAAGTCTCTCCGTGTGTCTTCATCCTTGTTCTTCACATCTGAACAGAATTCCATTATGTGATATTCTTACACCACAGACGTCTTAGAGATAGTGATTCTCGTAATTTAGAGGGATTTCTTTTTAACGATCTGTAGTAGAACATTGTTGAGTATGTACCATAAAGATTTTGTTCATCTTTCTCGAACCAAACTTAAAAACAGCACATATTGTACAGCATATTGTTCCTACTTTTGAGGATTTTCTTTTATTAACAATCTGCAGTAGAACATTGGTGAGTATATACCACGTTTTACCTTTCTTGAACGAAACATAAGAACTGCACGTATTATACAGAAAATTGCACCTAATTTTGAAGCAAGAAACATGTAGCATATCAGTATGTGGTGAATTGGCAAAACATTATCAGGTCACACCAACATGCCAGCTACAATTCCAGTTTGGACAAAGCACATGTACGTACTTTTAATCTTAGCGCTGACATGAATTGTCTGGTTTCAGAAGATGACTCGTGGGTTGCTTCATCTACATAGAAATGAATTGATTCTGTCTGCATATTACAAATCTTATTATTACAAAGCTTTATTCCTCACGTTTTGAGGCACACCTTACTACTAAAGAGTTACTTAGCTGCTGCAATAATGCTGATATATTAGAGTACATGTGAAAAGGAATATAAGAATTGATATTGTATCAATCAATCTGTAGCGCTGACATGAATTGTCTGGTTTCAGAAGATGACTCGTGGGCTGCTTCATCTACATAGAATCGAATTGATTCTGTCTGCATATTACAAATATTAAGGTTTTAATGATATGATCTCTGATGATATATAAGTTGATTCCTCTGATATAGCTTTATTCCTCACGTTTTGATGCATACCTTACTACTAAACAGTTACTTAGCTGCTGCAATAATGCTGATATATTAGAGTACATGTAAAAAGGACGAATATAAGAATTGATATTGTATGAATCAATCTGTATAATGAAATTATCTGGCCTCCCAAGCACTAAGACACTAATACTCTGCTAGATTATATTGGATACACATATTCTGTGGGATCTTTCTCTTACTGTTGTACATATATATTGTTTCATTGATATATAAGGATATTTTGACATGTCTTCGGTAACTGGCTGTGTTATCAACAATGTGTCATTGAAGTTTTTCATGTATGGGCATGGCTTAATATGAATAAAAACTTCACGTAATTATAAAGCTATCGTTATTCACAAAAATTTTTTCAGCCAATCCCATCAAAATCAGATTTGATAGAGAGTCCCTAACCAAAGCTAGGTACCCACTTTCAGCTGATCCAACAAGCAAAATAGGTGTAAAGAACCTTTCTCAAGGGAACAACATTGTCTCCCAGGAATTCTAGCCCAATACCTTTAGACTCTAAATCACAGGACGGCAGGGCCTAACAAAAAGTTTGAGACCATCTTCGTTGATGAGAAGTACGTGGATGTAGAAAGGATCATAAATGTACATGTATAGTCTACCAGCTTTCAAAACTCAATTACTACCAAGTACATCATACATGGATAGTCTTGCCAGCTTTCAAACATCCACCCACATCCACAGACGAAAAAGTTGGATCAGCCTATTTTAGCTCCTCCCAAGGGAGGGACAGCTCAACATTCACGTTTCTAAAAAAGTTTTCCTACGAAACCACGTTTCTTCAGACATCTTAAATTTCACTGCTAACAGACGAAATAGGTGCTAAGTGCCTTTCAAAATAAGGGCGCAGCATGGGGTCTTTACTAACCCTTTTATTCTAAGCAAGGACATTATACACAGACCCTAATCACAAGACCACCTTGCCTGCTTCGTTGATGAGAAGTATGTGGGTGTAGAAAGAAAAGTTCATCATACATGATCTGTCTACCTGCTCCCAAACCTCAATTACGACAAGGTCCATCATACACGTATTGTCTACTGGCTTTCAAACCTCCACCCACGTCCACAGACGAAAAAGTTGGATCAGTCCACTTTAACTTCTCCCAAGGGAGGGACAGCTTAACGTCTAAAATTCTAAATTCATATTTCTGACAAAAATTCGACTTTTTTCACACATCTTGCATTTCACTGCTATAACCGATTTTTTCGTTTTATCTTATGAACAATAAACTGTGGCCAATTTTTGGACTTCAGTGTTCAACACCCTGTTTTTTCTATACGATATCAGACAAGACACCTTTGCAGATGAATTTATGACGTGCATGGAATATGTTTATTAAATGTTTATATCATCTCCCTGCACTGAGTCTCCATTTCGCTATTGTGGTCGGTTCTCTCTGAAGACAAGTCTCTCGTCGAAGCCTTACGGTAAGTACAGAATTTCTGAATCTTTCTTCTCTATATCTCCATATCACCTTACAGTAGCACTTGCTTCGGGTAATGTAATGTAATTTGTAATTTTTATAATGCTTTGGGTAATGTAATATAATTTGTAATTTTTATAATGATTCCAGCTGTTATGAACTAACAGTGTGTTGTTATTTAAACACGACACTACTGAACATGGTAATGTTAAGGCGCGTCTATATTTTCCCCACAAAGAAGAATCTCAAGTTCACCGAGTAACATGTTACATATCGGTAAGATTTATGAGAGGAACCGCTAAAATAACTTTCAGTAAAACCAACATGTCAGCTACGACTTCAGCTGGAACAACACGTGCTTCACGCACTAATTATAAGTAACTGTTTAGACAACCCTATATTATAGAAGGCAATAACCCTTACTGTGTAGAAATAGGTAAATATATCAAAGAACGTTTAAACCTTAGAACAAGTAGTATTAGTTGACACATCTATTGTTCTGTACGTGGGATATTTTCGTTGTACCCATGTTTATTTGTCTGTATATCTACATATCTTAGACCTTGCGAAAGTCGCTGTACTTTTGTACTATATTTCCACCATAAAGAAATAACTGAACATTTTATGACATCAAGTTAGCCAAGAAACATGTCAATACATGTCAATACATGAGGAACAGCTAAACAACTTCAAGTAAAAGCAACAATGTAGAAAACCCAAACCCCAGTCAGGACAACACGTCGTTCAAACTCATGATCTCAGCACTGACATGAATTGTCTGGTATCAGAAGACGACTCGTGGGCTGTTTCATCTACATAGGTAGATAGGTAGAATGGTTTTATCACAAGAACAAGAAAATATACACACAAGCCTCCTGTCAGCTATGATGGTTGAATTGCGAGGCTTATTCTAACATCATGTTGCGACAAACTATGTACATTCATAAAATCTAAAAATATAGTTAAATTTAAAAGCGAATATTTAAAATCGACATACAATATAGCTGTGTGGAAAGTGAATAAAAACACAGTGTGGAATTACTGCTACAAAAACGTACTAATATAATAAAAGTTCATGATCTACAGTTCATTTAGTCGTTTGACCAGGGCAGGAATCCCGCTTGTCGTGTAGCGTTTAGTCCCGGAGGGCTGCTGGTACCGAGTGGCGTTTCGCAGATTTCTGCCATGCTGTTCACCACGGGTACGCTCGGGAAGCCAGGAGCGGAAGCGTGAAGACTTTTCCACACTTGTAGCGAAATCAGAGCACAAGTGTTCTCTTCTATCCGCCAGACGTTGCAAGTCGAGCAGCGCTAGGGTTTCGGTGTACGAGTTGTACCTGCGTCCCAGAATGATTCGGCAGGCGCGTTTTTGAACGCGCTCTAGGGCATCGGACTGTTTCTACATTAAGATGTATTGATTCTGTCTGACTTTTTCCCAGTGGTCTTTACAGTGCACATATAGCGATACAGGTTGAGGATAGAAATTGTTTAAATGTGCTGTGTTCTGAGAATCAAATTATGGCAATAAGCAAAGACTAAACATATGATCATCACCATCGCTGTATTTCAACGTAGAGCATCAAGGCAGACTGTAGCATTGTTATAATGCTTGTAGTTATGCATGTTTATGTTACATCTACATGTTGTACCATTTGAATGCAGGATCTCTTTGTTTTCGTCTTATTACTTGGAGCCATGGCTAAAAATATGCCATCCAACACCGTACCAAAAGCAATGGTCGTCAGAAACGAGTTCTTCAGCGAAGGTATGGCAAAACCAGACACAGGAACTGTGCCATCCACGTTCACGCACGCTACCGAAGGTGCCAGTCACCACATCTCTGGTCGATGTGAGGAAAATAAACACAATGATGATGAAAATCTGTCTGACACAAGCGATGCTGCTGCTGAGAACATTCAGACAATCGATATCGGCCCTGGTGAGTTCGATACATACGCCATTGCATACATATGCAAAGAACAGACTCTTCGCATGAAGAAAGCCGTGGAAGAGACCAAAAACAAACCTTTTCAGGCATCTAAAACGGCGACCGACAACACTGATAATGATAATGATACTGAAACTTCAGCTTTTAATGCAAATGACAGCAACATGCACACACAAGCCAGGGATCCGAACCCGATGTACACACAAAACATGAACCCTAAACCGACGGACGCCGAAAACGACGTTAACCCCAATCCGATGTACATGCAAAGCACCACGGAGCCAATAGCCAGCCCTGGACCCGCCAGGAATACAAACCCGATGTACACACACAACGCTACGAACACTTCTCCGACGCACTCCAGAAACGACGTTAACCCCAATCAGATGTACCTGCAAAGCAGCCCTGGGCCCACCTTCAAGTCAAACAAGAGTGATGACAATTCCTGCACCCAGACATCAGCTGATACACATCAGCAAGCCTACTCCAGGCCAGCGACTAACAATGATGACAACCATTGCCTTCAACCATATGCTGTAGCACGTTACCAGCAAGATGATGAGGCAGCCTCGTTGAAAATACCAGGAGACAATAAGGACCATCCCTGCATCCAACCATATGCTGTTACCCACCATGAACATGATAACATTGCCATAGAATCAGGTAACTGTGGTGTCGTCCAGCCCTATGCCGTTCAATACGAAGAAGATGAAACATTCGGTGAGTCAGCAAACAATGATAACAATACCTGCATCCAACCATATGCTGTTACCCACCAAGAAGACCAGGAGCCCTCACTCAACTGTGATGGCGGCCAGCCTTACGCTGCTAGATACCAAGAAGATGACGATAGTGACAGTGCTGCGTCTAAAAACAGACATACAGCCANCACCTGTGGAAAGGGGGAGGGGCAACTGAACTCTCCCGTGGGTATTTGCCTGGACACCTCTGGTCGCATCATCGTGGCGAATTCTAAATACAAACGGGTAGACATGTTCACAAGCCAGGGCAAGTTTGTCCGCACCATCGCGGACATTGAACGCCCGCGGGCTGTCGCTATGGGACCACGTGGAGAGTTGGTGGTGACTAGCCCATATAAGGTTACTATCTTCCCACGGCACATGGTGTTTCCTTGAAGCCCTAAATTATGTTCACTTTATGGTTGATTTTGTTATCTCTGCAGGACTGATTCTCTTTTGTTAATGTACCGTATTATCAAATGGTGTCGTATAAGCCCACACGGGCTGGGAGCGGGAAGCCTCATTCATTCATTGTAACGCGTAGATTGTCAAAATTGTTGTCTTTGAGATGAAATTTACCAATCTTAGTGCACTAATTGGTACTCCAGATATTCAGGTCCAGACCTGTTCCTAAATACATCAGTGAAGGTTAGACATCCATCTAATAAGATGCGCCAAAAAATAGTAACTAACAAAAGGTAGTGGATGATACTTGAAACATCTGACCGTTTCCAAAAGCATAATAATAAATTATTGTATATCTAATATTACTTTGTTGCCTCATCATAATGGTTTAACAAGT